ATTTGGTCCAGAATACTTTGGAACCTCGGTTTTCGAACAATTGAGTTTTTCGAACATGAGACAAAAAACAGATAGATTCACGAACATAATATTTGTTTCCGAATAAACAAAGTATCAACTAAGTGTATCAATAGTATAATGGTTTCAGTTTCCGAATAAAAGGTGTACACTTTTGAAAAAAAAAATGAATTATGTTCGACATCCAAGAAATACTTTAATATTTTCTTTGCAAAAAATCAGTATAAAATTAAGTCTTTTTTTTGTATATTTATGTATAACTATTGCAATAAATATTATTATTTTTATTACATTATAAATTATCATTTAATTGAAGCAAAAGCGGTTGTTTTCTTTGAATTCTCAACAGTTATGATAATTTCTTAATATTATAACTTTGGAGATTTAATTAAATGGAGATTGTTTTGAAGATATAATGATAGAGTCTCGTCGATGAAGTAATTAGAAGATAACTAAGTTAATTAAATCCTGTAATTGAAATTTAATTTACCGACCATTATCATGAGCCAGTTTTACTAACTGCAAGTAATCTGAGCGAAACACTTCAATTAATCAAACAAAAACAAACTAAAATATGTATATGAAATTCCAAGAAATCTATAAAAACTATAAAAGATACATATTAGTCGCGTATTTTCATTAACTAAATTGTACAGTGAAAATGACTTTGCAAACGAGCAGTAAAAACGATGAATAATATTGCAATAACAATTATATTTTATTTATTTCCACCTTTATTCCTGGTACATCTACATGATTAATTTCAAATGTTTTTAACAAGCTATTCTTTTACATATTTTATTTTATATGTTATTTTTTATGATTTTTGTTCGGTTTTCTTTTTAATATATACTTTACATCAAAAAAAATAATGAATGTATATATGTTAAGTTATTTATGTTTAACGGACTTGTTATTATATCAAATATTTATACTCGTAAATTTAAATTATTCACTTTTAATGAAAGAAGATCTAAATTGTAAATAATATAAAATGAATTTATATATGATAAATTGACAAGTTTGTTAAATGAAATTATATTTTTTTGTTATTAAACTAACTAAATTCAATGAATAATTTAAAATTATGCAGACAATATATAAAGTTACTAAAAACGGTGTAAATTTTGTAGAATTATCGATTTCTGCGAAACTAATAAAGTTTACATAATATCTATTTAGTTTATGCACGTATCATATTAGTATGAAACCCGTTAAAACGTCGAAGAATCGCTGCAGCTGATATTCAATGTCGCTTATCGTCAGAAAATGTTATTCATTACATGAAAATTTAATAGTTTTAATGCTTCATTCACTTTAAAACAACATATTTTGTATTAATATAGTGTATTCCAATAGTTATATAAAAAATAACCAAATACAAGAATAGAATAGTGGAATGTATGTTTTTTCTTGATATTTGTAATATTTTATCGTTTCAGGTATTTTTTTTTATTTAAAACAAAATTTATTAAAAGTTTTACCAAAGTGTTACCAAATCGAACAAGTTCATAATTGCCAAGATATTGCTAATTATTAAGAATTTTATAAATTGAATGATTTTAAAAATATTTATGTCTGCTACATAATTAACAAGGGTTTGAAAAATTTATAACTTGATCATTTTCATCAGCATCAAATTTGGTTTGGTGAAAATTCCTTTGAAAACGAGTAAGAAACGAGCCATAAATCATTATCTGGTCACTGTATAGGACAATTAAGGTATGATTCCTACTACCAGAGCGATGTACGTCCTGTGGGAAATATTTTTTTTGGTCTCCGCGTTCACCTGATTTGACGTCACCAGGCTTACTTATGTGGAATAACGTTAATAAACCTCGAACAAGTTAACAACTCAAGAAAAACAATCGAACTGAAATATAGCCTGTATTTATAAGCGAGAAAATGGTGGTCGTTTGAGGAATATTTTTTTTCACACATATAGAAAGATAACTTCATTAATTATATTTTTAAAATAATGAAAAATTTAAATAATGTGTTTAAACTTTAATAACATGTAAAAAGTTAGTTAGTTTTGATTTAAAAATCATTCAGTTTTTCAGGCGATAGTTTACAAACTAACAATTGAATTGGTATTTTCGCTAGACCTCGCTTAAAGAGCACCTCGCATAATGAGAATTTTGCTTAACGAGCAAAATAAATTGTAAGAAAAATGACTTCAAAATGGAACCCATTACCTTATATTACATTAGTTTATATGGGAAAAAATATATTTCTTGTCATATACTATATGAATTTAATTTTTAATATTTACATTTATATTTTCATTATTTATAATAATATATAAAGGGTGTCCCAAAATTAAAGCAAGATTTGAATTTGTCGCCATTTGTGCAGTAAAGTGTTGGCAACCCAAAAAAAACAATTTGGCAGCTGAGAGGTTGGACCATACTTTTTCAAAATGAGGCTGGTCAAGCAGTGACTGTTACTGTGGAGGTCATTTGCCCGATGTGTTATTCCATAAATAACCCTATCCTATGTATTTTATGATTCAATAAAAAAATCAAAATCTGAAGACTAAAAACTTTGTTTTCTATTTAATTCAAATCTTGTGTTAATTTTGGGACACCCTTTATAAAGGGCGGATCAATAAATATGTTAAATAAATAATATATCTAAATAATTATATATAAAGAACAAAGAACAATTAATACATTAAATTTACATTTTAACAAATTAATTGGAATTATGAAAATATGGATTTTATTAGTATTATTTTTACACATCATTTCTATGTATTTGAATTTTTTATTATATATTTTACGAATTAATTTATTATATTGTTTGTGGCTCATTTTCATTATTTATGAACTCGAAAACATGCAAATATTAACACGTTAAACAAGTTTACACAGAACCATTTAATTAGTTTGTTCGTATTATCAGAATAAAATTAAATAGTTTGCATAACTAATTTGCATACTACATCAAAAACACTGAATATTTTATTTAACATCAATCGATGTATGTAAAATAAAATAAGTAATGCATAATATCCAAACTAAAAAAAATATTATGTAGCAATTTTTTAATAGTTTGTATAATACCTAACTAATTAAACTCAATCGTAGGAACATCTATCATTTGATTTATGGCTGTAACTTTCTGAATGTAAAACTTTGTAAATCGAAAAGTATGCAAAAAACACATTATTTTTTAAGGTACATAAATCAAACAAAAATATTGAATGACATGGTTTATTTTCAATATTTATTTTTTTTATAGCGAAAACGTGTAAAAAAAGTACCTTGCAAAATCAATTATAGGTTATTTTCGAAATTTATTTTGTTTAAGCCATGTAATAACGAAAACGTGTCTAGAAAGTACAGTGTAAAACGAGGGATAGGTGTACTGCAATACTTCGTATAGTGCGGCTAATTGGTACCGTTTTGAAATCGAGGAACTAGATACTTGACTATATAAAATGAAGAAAAACGATAATTTATGTACAAAAACAAATATTTTTTTGCACTAAACTTTTAGAATACATTTATGTTTTTTCTCAATTAAAATTTAGTTTGTCAACGGACTATGCGAAGTATTGCTCTAAATAGTATTTATTCTGTTTAAAGTTAATATTTTCAATTGTATTGTGCACAAGAATTGTGTAATTATATGATTGTTGAAATAACTATACAAAATATTTCCATTAAGAATGTACTCAACATTATCAATTAATACGCTTGTTGTTCGAAAAATAGTTGTTGTTGTTATTGAACATCACCGTTGCGTAACATGAGCGCATTCGATTATCGCCGTCGGAATTTGTTTTTGAAAAATGTAATTTTCTAATTGTGTTTTGTGATTTTAACACTAATTATACTTTACCTGTCAACATATTATTAATTAAGCAACAAAAATACAACTTAATTTATTTAATCTTAATGTTGTTTCCATTCAAAAGGTACATAATTGAGGTTGAATTGTTATTTTCTACTTTTTTTTATGTGTTGTTGGTACAGTGGTCAGAGAGCTTCCTGCGCGGTTTTTTCCGTTTATTTTTAGAGCGACGTCAACGCGCGTTTTATTGCGTCCTGTCGCGCCAATCCGTGATACACACGTCCCCCACTTCGTCATTTTCGTCCTCCGCGTACCACGATTTTGAGGGCGGTAGGGAGGAGGTGGCGGAGGTCATACCATCATGAGCACATCACATCGGTAATTACATTTCTGTTCATTTGAATAAAGCAATTAATGCTGGGTAATTGCCTAAATGTTTGCATGCCGCTAGACTCTATTAAGTGCAGAATTTAAGTTCGGATCGAATTTCAAGAGCAGTTTTTTCTTAAACTACTTAATAATCTGTTATAAAGGATATCCCAAAATTTAGTCAAATTAGTTTTTAGTCAAATTGTTTTTTTTTTTTGGTTGCCAACACTTTACTGCACAAATGGCACATTCAAATCTTGCGTTAATATTGGGACACCCTTTATAAGTCGATATATTTGCTGAAGTAGTTGATACTTTATATTAGATATGAAATATACATTTTAACAAACATAAGTAGCAGATACAAAGATTGAACTAAATTATTTAATGTACATCAGCGTTTCTCAACATTCTCTGCTCTATTTCTGTTTATTATATAAGATTAAAAAATATTACCACACATATTTTTCAATATAATTAAATCATCCACACAATTTATACATCTGATCTACAAACAACTGTACAAACTAAAGTTGTAATTTATGCTGAAGATATAGTAATTTTATCATTCAAGGCTGCTTGAATGAAATTGAAGAATGGTTAAAAAAATGGCGATTTAAACCTAATTATCATTATCCTAGTCATTACTTATATAATTTCAATTAATTTATTCCTGTTTGACAAAGCGACTTAATAAAAACTTCAAGTTAATTGTTTATGATTTTTTTTAGTGATTTTCAATTTTTTTTTTTATATATTTGCAAATTTTGTTTTTATTAAAGTGTTTAATTATAATATTTTTTCTTTTGCAGTTTTCCAGTACAATAACAAAAGTAAGTAACATTTCATATTTATAATATTATTTTTTTAGAAACAATTAATATATATTGTGAAAATCTGTAGTTGATATTATATCTTTAATATGAAAACTAATTGTGAATTTTTAGTTTTACAATAATAAAGCATACAAATGCTTATTGACCACAGTTTTTCGGCACTTTCTAATTAAATATCAATAAAATGCACATCAAAATATTTCTACATATGAAGAAAATCGGGAGTTGTAAAATAATATTTTCTAATTTTTATAAATATATATATTTTTAAATTACAAAAAATTACAAGAAAATATAGCAAAACCAAATAAAGAAATCATACTTTTCAATGTAATGTACAAGAAACTGAGTAATTAATTCAAGATTTTCTCCAGAAAGTGAAAGTACGAGAGAATACATTGGGCAAAACTATATTCGTTAACCGAAATTTTCGTTAACGTATCATCGATTTAACCCGCAAGTACTACGGAATCACAATCAATAATTTGTTCTATTCTCTTAATATTTAATAATCGGGTCATTTTGACCCACAAGTCGCATGTTATATATTTGTCCGTAGTTCTTACGGGTTAAAAAGCGGATCAAGCTTCTTAAGATTACTAGTGTAGCGTTAACTCCCAGAAGTAACGTCATTCGTTATTTGAATATCCTATGTTTGTTATCCAAACTTCGCGAAAGTGTTCGTTGTTCAATTTGTTCGTTAATCACTCATCAATTTACAATTTTACAAATGTACTGTAAGGTGTTCATTAACCGAATATATGTACGTAAAAATCTTGCGAAAGTGTTTGATGTTCAATTTGTTCGTAGTCCGAATTGTTCGTTAATTGAACATAGATTTAGGATTCAACAAATGTTCGGTTAACGAAGGTGTTTATGTGTTGTCTGAAATTTTTTTTTTGTAAAACTTTTCGTTATCCGATTTTTTCGCAGTCCGAATTGTTCTAATCGACTAATTATCAAGAGCTTTGTAAAATGTATTAAATTGCAATTTATATGGTAAAATCCTCTTTGATACTAAAAATCTGCAACTTTAGCATCTACAAAAGAACCAGACATTTGAGATTTCTATAAGCTGTGACGGTACATAATAATAATAATAATAATAATAGAAAGCATCGCTCAGGAAATTTGATCGAAATATTTACCATATAAATAGGTTATATTTCCAATGATGTGATTCTAAAGCAGAAGGTGGGACAGATTTATATTCAGCTGCAGACAGTAAAACTATTTAACTCGAAATGATGTTTAAGAGCGGTCGTAAATCAGACCCCATGATCGTTTCCTCGTCGGGAAATCTCTTTTCACAAAAGAATAAAAATTTATGTTCGCGCCATTCAAATTGCAGTTGCATGCAAACAACGACAGTTTGCACAACTTTTGCTTTTTTAATTTACCGAACACACACACGTTCTGCGCTACATCCAATTCTATAGTGTTTTTTTTATTATTATTTTGTTAGTTTGTTGATGTTGATTCTTTCTTTCTGTTTTATTGAAAACTTGTACAAACACACACATAAACAAAACCAAGCAAAACAAAACAAAAAAGCAATTTTAACAAATAACGCATTTGCAATTATCCGCACTGAACGTTAAGTTTTACAATGAGCTGGAGAACTAATTGATGTATGTCAAAAAATCAGTTTGTTCGGTTTTGATTTGCGAAAGCTCCTTTTGGCGATGTTAATCACAAATAAATTCTTTTGTTTTCGAGGCACAACGTGAACGCGAACTAATAACGATGGAATCCGTCAAAGGGCTTTCAAAGCGCGTCAACGTTTCCCTTGTTTTTGTATTTTGTTTTTGTGTGTGTGTGTTTGTTGTTTTTATCTTTTTTTGTCACCACTGTGCCCCATAAACGACAGAAATGAATAAAAAACAAAACTAAAGGTTTGAATTACTCTTGCAATTTTTCAATTCAAAAATAAAAAATAAATTTTATTTATGTAAGATACAATACAGGAAATTGTTATTGTTGAGGTGATGTACATGTACATATATAGTAGGACTATAGTTTATACTTAATATACCAACAGTGACTATAATCTATCACCTTTCGAATTAATTCGGAATTTATTTTATTTTATTTCTTAAGCGAATGTTAAGTAATTTTCTTATCGCGGACTGCCGATAGTTAGTCAATTAAAGTCACACTAGTATATCATGACATGTGTTATGAAAGCTAATATTCTGATTGTATCGATTTATCATGTTACAGTTGAAATGCGAAATTTTATTATTTGTGATTGGATATAGAGTGATTGCTTGTAAAGAAAACCATGACATCATAACTATTGTTGGATTTTAACTGTTTTCATGTACACAAATATAAAGAAATATCTTAAAATCCATATCGTTATTTTTAATAATTTACTACTTTTTATACAAATTACGAACTAAACTTATATTCTAACCATCACATTTCTATCAAGACTATTAGTAATTAATAATGTACCTTTTAAAACTATCAACTGATACTAAAAAAAATATAATATATAAAATATTCAAAGAACGTAGGATAATACTAAAACTAAACTAAAATATTATTTCACAGATGTGCAAGAATATTTTGAATTATAAGTATAAAAATATTATCAAATAAAGATCGGTTTCCGAACAAAATTCAATACAGTATTCTTTTATTTATTATATTTTCTTTATTCGATTTTAAGCATAAATTACCGTTATAAAGGTTTAAGCAAGAATTAGAAAATCAGTTCAATTGTAGCTGAAAACAATATTACTAAGCTAAAAAAGGAATCATATACATCTATATGTTGGCTACTAAACTATAAACTTTGGGCATTTTAACTATAGATTTTTTAATATATCAATTGTAAAATATTCATATTTATCTTTCAATCACCTAAAATGGTTTTGGTTTCCAAACAATTTGTGTTCAGAACAAATTATATCTAAAAAAAATATGGTTCAGCTATAGTTGAAGACAATATTACTAAGCCTTGAAGGAATCATATATCTATATGTTGGCTAAGGAACTGTGAACTTTTCAAGTATTGATTTATTTTCAAATATATCTATTTCTAAATGTTCATATTTATCTTTTTCTCTAAGAGAATAAATAAAATAAGGCGATTTTTCTGTATTTTTCTCTGTTGCGTGATTACGAATACATTCCGGAGAAAACCATGAGATCATAACAGTTGTTAGGATTTAACTTTATTGCCGTGTATTTTCATGCATCGTTTTATTCATTTATTTTTTCTCTCTCATCCTCTTTCTTCTTTTTCAATTATGTGGATCTGAGGAGAAGGGGGAGGAACTGATCAGTGCGTTCTTTGATGTCACTACCTTAAGCTCCAACGTTCGTTCGCATTTTCTATCTATTTATTCGATTCTCTCTCAAGAACATAAATAAATAACTTGATGCGGGAGATTCGGAGACCCTTGGTTGCACTTTTGAAAAATCTTCTTTCGGCTTCTGTCGCCCACGTTTTCCTCAGACTCAATTTTTTAATTATTTATTTATTTCTATTCCCCGAAAGAAGCAGAGAGAACAATGTATTAATTATGAAAAGCGAATACAGAAAAAAGGGTCGCGCATATTTTATGCGTTCGCACGGTGCGCCCAAGGAAAATTCTCTGATTAATTCATGACCATGTGCAGTAATGATAGATGCAATTGATTAGTCGCTCCGCAATCAAGGTCTTATTTTCTTTTTTCTACTTTCATTGATTTCCCAACGTCGTGTCTGAGTCAATTTTCAACAATATGATTTATTTATATGTTTTTTTTTGTGGAATCTTCTTAACTAATTTATAATAAGCATAGATTATGATTTATTCATAATGTACCAACATAGTCTGTCTATCCATGACCTATAAACTAAAAATATACTTTAATACTAATGTTCCCAAAAAGCTTATGATTAATCCATATATAGTAAGACTATTGTGTACACTTAATGTACCAACTGTGACTATAATCTTTACTCATAATCTATCACCTTATACGAAATTAAGACTATGCTATAATTTAGCAACTAAGACAACATTCCTGGAAGATTATTAGTTACTCCTAATGTACCAACTAAAATTATATTTTATCTAAAAATTACAAACAAAAACTAGTCTTTAATCATTGTGTAGAAAGGTAATAAAACTACAAGTAACTATAATGTACCAACTAAGAATATGTTTTTTTGCAGAATGATAATTTAAAAATATACCAAGACAAATTTTCTACTTAGACTATTTTATTTATAAACTACAAAGAAAATACTTTACTTATGGCAGTGATGATAAAGCAAGACCATGATTTTTACAATTTCACATGAGATTATATGTAAGAATAAGCCGCTTGAATCATAAATTATTGAAACTTTATTTTACCTCTGATGTTTCTTAGTAAGACTAAATTTTACTCATAACATTTATTCTAAGACTAATTTTCTTTATTGAAAAATTACTATTACTATATTTTACAAATGATGTTCCAAAAA